TAACCGCTCTTCACTCTGGCTAATCCCACCTCTCCCGAATTCTATTTGTATGATATATTTGCTCATTTCCCACGTCAGAACCAAAGGAAGCTCCAGTTCAACAAACTACAGAGGGAAATAGCCATTAAGAGACTAGTAAATGGAACGTGCGTTCGGAAGAAATGGTCTGTGCTCATTATATTTCTCGCCGTTCAAGCAATCCAGCTTCGTACGTTTGCGTAACCCGAGCGTCCACTGCGTTCGGCGATGGCCGGCGGCGTTTCAACAGCTCGGATTAGTTGCGGAAAAGCTTGTTCGGACGCAAAGACATAAAAAGTGCTGCTCCAAGGCACTGTTCCGTCATTCGAAAAGCATGAAGCACCTTTTGCTCCTCGTCCAGCTCATCCCATTTTTTACTGCGTCTGCATACGCCAAAATAGCTCAGGTAAGCCACTGTTACGTAAGTTATCGTAAGTTATCGCTGGCATGTAATTGAAACAGGAAATTTTCAATTAACCATTTCCTTTGCTTCTATTATTCTTTATGAGAACCTCCAGGAAAACCTTTCCTTTTCTCTTACTCAGCTCTGCTCTGTTCCTTGTAAATTTTCTATGGGGTTGTATTCATCCATTATGGTTATGGGAGAAGAAGGGTTGGTGATCAGCGATTATCGAAACTTTTGGATTGCGCCGTACACACGATATTGTACGAAACAACTATGTCGACACATGCAAGGTCATGTAGTGTTGAGGCAGCTATTCTATCTGTAATCTAATGAAATTTAATTCCTTGCTAATTTTTAGATTCAAAATTCATAATCAAGGCACGCTGTGAGAACATTGAAACAACTTCATTCCATTTCCCTCATTTCCTCGCCATTTAAGAATGTATATTGGATAAGCTTTGAAGAGTGATAATTTTTCAACTGTTTTCCTGCATCTTTTCAATGGTTTCTTTCGAATGGCAAGAGATCACCTTGACCGCTCTCAATGGCGGACTTACTGAGATTACGAGCCCTATTTCATTTAAAGGTGTTACTTTACAGTTCTACATTGAACCTGCCCAGAAGGTGGTCCCAACCTATGTGACGCAGTTGGTGCAAGGACGCTTGCAAAGGATTGAGCAGGTTTGTACCGGAGAGGTTGTTCGCAAAACAAGTTATAAGACGTTCTACAGCAGACGAAATTTGAGATATAATATTTCAAGGGGTCGAAAATGACGGCTTCAGTCAGCTTGGTTTTCGATGGTGGCTACTACATTCTTGTCGACTCACCGTCTTCCGCCGATCTGAAAGCCAAAGAGACAATGTTGCGATGTACGAGTTTTTGATACATTGCATGACTCAAGTTTTATCATTTGGTATTTCTATACGATGTTTTTGCGTGTATATACTTTTAAAAAGTGAGTTGTGCACCAGGTAGGCGCGCGGCCGCAACGCGGCAGCAACAGGTGATCGAACCTGTAGGACGCCTAGGGTGACATTAAGTGCAATATCATTTTCCGCATGGTTTCCGGAATATCCATTGAAATTCGTGTCATTCGAGTAGTATTAGTATAATTTTAATCTCTTTTTCTTGTACCAGCGCTAACCGCACCACAACCACACTGTCTCTTTTGCTACACTTCCAATAGTTGCCCACAGACAGTTTTCTTTTACCTTATCCTTCTCTATGAACGCTTCACCAAGTAGAACTATAAAGACTTTCTTGCAGGTTTATCAGCGAAATCAATAAACCCCGGCGAGGTTCAACTCGCCGTAACCACCCATGGACATCCTGACCACTTTGGTCAGGGTAATTTCTTTCCAAACGCACGTCACTTCTTCGGAAGTTATGAATATGTTGATGATGTTTACATTAAGACCGAGCTAGATGTGGTATGTCGAGCTTCTTTTTGCTATTTCTTATTTATTTATCGATCAGTACTTTCAAGAATGACACGATGAAGATCACAAGTAATGTGGAGCTGTGGAACACTCCCGGTCACACTGCTCAGGACATTTCCGTGATGGTCAGCAAAGTACCGTGTTGTGGTATTGTGGCTGTTGTAGGTTAGACGCTTTATTCAAACTTCGTTTTGCATTCCATCACCATGAGACAGAGCCAGTAGTTCCAACACGACCAGTTAGTGCTGGCTGCCACTTTTGCTGTGCCTCAAATTCTGATTCTGCTTGGATAGCTCACGTGGGACTGCATTGGTTGGGTCGGCGACTCCCAGTATTAATTATCACTTATGCAGTTTATTATTTCCTCGTAGTATTCAAAGTCACAGCCCTCAGAAAGTGGCGCCCTGAAATCAAGGAGATTCGGCTCAGAACGCCTGGCACCTAGTTCGGAACAAACTGTATCCGTTGGTGTACGGTCCATCATATGATCTCCCGTAATAAAAATCACTTAAAACCGTTCCCCAAATCATAGTCGGCCTGCTCGAAGTTTGAAGCTTGTTTTAAACTGAATTGTTCTTTTGACCTCCTTCCTTCAGATCTTTGTTCACAAGCCCGCATCCGCCCTCACAACTGTCCTTACCTAAAAAAGATATTTCAACCAGGTCCAGCTGTGTCGGGAAATGCAATTGTCATGACTATCTTGATGAATTGTCCGTCTTAACCAAATCGCTTGAAAGATGTGTTGTCATTACCCTCCTCCCTTCCAAATAACAAGAAGAACGTCGCGTGCAGACCGCACACCACATATGACGACGGCCCCCACAAAATGTAAATGTATTCTGCCTGTTTTCTGAAAAGATTAACCTGTTGCATTTAAGAATCATCTTTCACTTTCACCTATGATTCCTACCACGACTACCGCGAACACACCGATTTAGCTTGAAGGCCGCCGTCACTTGTGCTTGTATGAGCACCCGGCGACTCCGACCTTTCTTCTCGTTCATTTGAAAGGGAGGGTAATCGTCGGCAAAAAACATTAAGTGTAGGCCAAACGTGCATCTTTTTTACTTATGTCATGGGCTAGAAATAAGAGAGTACTTCATTAGCTGCCAGCAAAGGATTCGTCTGAAAAAAGAAACAAAAAAAACATAACAAAAAATTTTAATTCAATTCCAAGATGTTTTTACCTTAGCCCATGCCTAACATTTTATAGCCAGTCAAAGAACTAATTGAAGGTGTTCAGGAAATCGCAGTTTGCCTTCTTTCCGGCAATCAAACCGAAAAAATTTCCAAAACCCAACTTTCATGCCAAACCTTTGATCACACATATTTTCTGTCTGACTTATAAGATTTTTGGGATAGACCCATAACAGGAGTCACTGTATAACATTTGGCAATGGTCGATGAAGTTTTTAGGATGCGCTACGCACTTTTATTTCATTGGGAGTTGTAAAGGCAGCGGTTCCAGCCTGCCAGGGGAGCTTAATACCATTCAACTGTCTCGACCCAATGGAAAGCTAGTTGCCTTTAAGGCGGAATCGATTTAAGATTTGACCCCAGCATCGAGACGTCACTTGACCCTATGCCATCTTCTACATCAGACATTCATGTGTTTACCTAGGCTACCAGCGTCCTCCATTTGGGGTCTAATACTGTTTGTCTAGTTTCTTGCGTAAATATTTCCGCTTCTATGGTGTCCTATCCGATTTTATACATGCGTTCGAAACGCTAACAGTTGTTTGAACACTTGCAGAAACATGAAACGTGCATGTTCAAGAGCGCGATGGACACTGTTGACTGATTTTAGAGTGCTCGCGGAGGCGCCAGTTTTCACACTCGGGATTAGGATTGTCTAGAAAATGGGCATCGACGCCTCTTGGCAAACAGAAGCCATTCAGAACTGGTTCCTGATGTTGCATATGAGATGAGGGCATGTGCCTTCTACTGGTGCTTTCTATCCATATGCATGATAGTGGATGGCACCAGTCTGAGTGTTGGTCTGCGACATACATCTACCCATTTATTCCAGACAGGGTCAACCTTTAATGTGATGGAGCTATCAGTAGTTCCATCGCATCAAACGGTCCGAACACTACACCCGAAGCGAATTTTTCCACAGTAATTTCTTCAGAATATCTCTGATGACGACCTTTTTAATTGATCGTCTTTTCTGACGAAAGTCTTGCTTGTCATTCAACAAAATTCAGCCTATCGTCGCAGAATGGGAGAGGGGGGTACGGAAAACGATTCAAACCAGCCCATTAAGTTTATGGGAGCTGTCCCGTCGGTAAGTGCAAAGTAATTATGTGCGGAGTTCCATCCACCGTTTCTGTGCCATGATTATTTTGCTACCATACATATCTTTGACTGCAAACAATAGAGTAAAAAGTACTCGATTTTAAGACGAGATATTTAGGTGATCTGTTCTATGATCAAGCTGACGCCCTAAACATATCCTCGGAATGGTTTAAAGAGGCTTGGGATCCAACCATTGGTAAGAGTAATTCAACTTTATGCTGATTTTCGAGTTTGTTTCATAAGTTGGAAAAGCAAATCCCTAGTTTGTTCGCTTCTGTACCTATGTAAACCTTTCATACCTCTTATGGTTTTTTTTTCAGGTAAAAGTAGTCGTGATAAAGTAATCTGCCACGCTGACTATATCATCCCGGGACACGGAAAGTTATTCAAGTACTGTTTCCTCTTCAACATTTGTTTTTAGCGAATCAGATAAGGCTTCTATGATCTGTCCGAATTCATTTCCCAAGTCCCC